GTCTCTTTCTCTCGAAACTTAGTTTTTCGAAGGTTTCACTTCTAACAAGTGTGATCTCCCCACATGATATTTTTTTTAAATATCTATCATAATTTAATATTATAGCAACGAATAATTTAAAAAACAAAAAACAATACTTTTATATCTATACAGCGTGTGTGTGTGTGTGTGTGTGTGATTGCACGTATATGCATTGCAAGTTTATATTGTGAAAATTTTATTATTTTCAATAATATTTTTCCTAACGAAATACATTTTATTTATTAACATTTTATCCAAAATTCTGTTGTCATTGAAATTTATTCAAACGAATGAATTAAAATTAACACACATGTATATTTAGTTTAAATAAAAATTTCAATTGCGAATATCAATGAGATTTAACATTTAACTTATTACGATTCGGATCAAATTGAAAACGATTTTGTATTTACCATTTAAATTCTAATTTCGATGTTCATAGCATTGTTCTTTTCCTTTCACTTTTTATTATTTTATTCGATTTAATCGAATTTAATGAAAACAAATGATATTTGTAGCGAACTATTAAATAAAAAAAAGTAAAAACGTCTATTACGTAAAGTGCGCTGGTAGATTTGGTATTAACACATATTCATGTTGGGGGTGTTTCGTATCGAACATTACGTTGAACCGGAAAATATTTTCTGGATTTTGCTTCAATCGTATTACGGTAAAAAAAAAGAACTAGTATTATTTTGAATATAAATAATATTTGTCGAGAATAATTGAGATAAATCACATTATCGCATTATAATGTATATTCTTTGTGTTTTTTTTTTTTTTTCAAATGCAATTATCAGAGATTATCAGTCTCACATAATAATGACATATATATATATATATATTTTTTTTTAAATAAATATATATGAAAATCATAATATTATGTATTTATGTGTCTTCCAAATACTAATAGAAAATAGTACCACTAGTTACAGATCATCCTATATATTTATATTTTAATTATATCTGCTTAACTTTAAAATCAAGCATCACGAAATATAATTGACTCCAAAAAATCAATCAAATTTATAACAAAAATATAAATCAATTAAATCAAAAAAAAATAAATGAATCCATTTATTTAACTCAACATTATATAAAAAAAAAAAAAGAACTATACGTGTTTAATAAAATCTCAAGTTAAGAAAATCTTTCGAGATAAGCATAGTGAAACCATTTATTATCCTATCTTTTATAAAACGTCTGTTGGTTTTTCATTTTTTTCTTGTTCTTTATCTGTCACGTTTCAGAAGAAACAGACGGTGGGAACGTGATGATACAAGGACCGAGAGTTTGGCCTAGCAGTGGCACCATGATACCAGTCGGCGTTGCTCTCAGCATCGCCTTAGACTGTATTTCGGGATATGCTACACAACGAGTCCTTGAGTTAGACGACGACAGGATGCCGTGCAAATACGACGAGAGTGGAGTCTACAACCAGCAAAGCTGCATATCTTTTTGCAAGCAAGCTTACGCGGTCAAGTACTGCGGCTGCAACCCGTCCTTTCTATTTCCATCCAGTGAGACCGTCCTTCACTACTCTACCTACTTTAAATCTTCCTTTTATACTATTCACAATCTCTGTGTGCTATATATATATATAGATGTTTGATATAACTATCTTATAAATTTTCTTTATAAATAAATTTATATATTTATATTTTTCAGCAACCAAAGATCGTGATTGCAACGTAACTGATCTTATTTGTTTAGCGGAAAACAACGGTAAATTATTATTAATTATTTTATATTAATATATTGAAATATTATTTTTTTATTTAATTATTTAAACCTATTAACGATTCATATATAGTTTAGAATTAAATGTTAAGTACCCAAGAGTGTTAAGATCCGATTGATTATATGACCAAATATGAAATTTTCTCTAATATAATTTACAAATGTTGACAGTCATATTTTTTATTGTGGAAACATTTGTTTCTTCTAGTCAAATAATTACCATGAAAAAAGTTTACAACAATATTTTTATTTGAATTCTTAAATGGATTATAACATTCTCAGGTACCATAATTGTATCAATAAGATATATACATACACATAGATAAATTTTGTTATCTTTTCTTTTACAATGCAGATATATTTAATTCGTATTACGTGCTGCAAGACACACAGATAGCCGACGACAAGCCAGGAATGATATGCGATTGCCCACCGGAATGCGAATATTATTTCTACAAGCCACGATTCACCATAGTACCGATATCAGGAAGCAAGGATATCACCATGGACGTGCATTTCGAGACGCAAACGAGCTTTCGATATAAGACAGATATTGTCTTATCGAAATTCGCCCTTCTTGGTAATTGACGTCATCCTAGATTACCATATCCAACCAAAGCACAACGAGTGGCTTCCATCCTATTCACTATTCTCCACGATGCCCTACTAGCATTGTTATAGCAAAGCTCTTGTTTCCTTTTTCTTTTCTTTTTTTTTTTTTTTTTACAAACCTTCTTCGAGATTACCTACAAAAATTTCCATGAAATCTGATCTAATGACTTTATGCACGTACAGAAATACCTTTTAACAAACTAATAAGAGAGTACCTGTTATCATTAAGAAAAATAAAGAAACATCGATTAGGTTAACCATTTTTCTCACTTTATCTTAGTTTTGCACTTTTTAAATTGTCTCACACCAAACAGCAGTTACTTACTCGTTGCTACCACCATTTATTTCACCAATTGTTTTAACGATATCCTTTTTTTTTCTTTTTTCTTTTTATTTTGCTTCTTTTTTTCTTCTTGTTCTTTTTTTTTACTTCATTTCCCTCTCTCACTCTCCCTCTCTCTCTCTCTCTCTCTCTCTCTCTCTCTCTCTCTCTCTCATCGAGTTTTTATACAGCCAGTAAATTTTACGAGGCCGAATTACGATGTTCTCGGAACGCTTGGAACTACATAATTTATTCGCACGCGCCATACCATATACCCCCCACCCCCTATCCACACTCTGAGACCCTCCAGGATAACTCGCATACATTTTCATCCCCCTTTAACCAAGCTCACCACCCCTTCCCTTTTCCTTGCTTCTCTGTAGGATTATAAATTTATCTCCCGAAACTTTTCATTCATATTGAATTAATTCCACCTTAGTCGTTTCGCAAAACCACGTATTATCTAGCTAACGAAAATGATCGTTCTCTATCAATTGTTTTTTTCTTTTTCTTTTTCTTTTTTCTTTTTTTGTAAGTATGCCAGGTATACTCAACCCACATTATTTTCTTTCGTAAATGGAAAAAGAGTTTTTAAACTTTTTCCGTTGATTTTTCTTCTACTTTTCTTTTTCAATTATTACATCTACACTTATGGAAGTCAATGAAAAGTAAATATATATATATATATATATATATATAAACGTTGGTAATGATATTTAGTTTTCGAGATCTGTTTTCTATGTTCTTTAATTAAATTAGTATGTTTATGAGATTCTTAATTTTCGACAATTTAAATTAAAAAAAAAGAAAAAGAACACCCTAAATTTATTAGGGAAAGAAACCGTGTAATTCCAACTATTAAATCACTAAAATTATATCAATGAGATATTAATTTCTCGACACGAATCATACGCTATTAAAACTATTTAAAATTCAAATAGATAACAAATAAAACACCCCAAAATTCATTTGTTTCAATAAATTAACAATTCACCATTATCCCTAACTAATGATCATTAATCTTGCAAATGTTATTAAACGTTTGAATTTTTTGTGATCACGATTTTTCTAACAAAACAAAAAACTTTTACATTTTATTCAAAAAAAAAAAAAAAACAAACAAACAAATAATTTAGAACAAAAAAAATAAAGAAATTATTGTTGTATGTATTGCAGTGTCCTTCGGCGGTATTATCGGTTTGTTTCTCGGAGGTTCTCTGCTAAGCGCGGTCGAGCTCGTTTACTATCTTCTAGTTCTACTGTATTGTTATGTTTCTTCCTGGTACGAGTCGGCTAAGCGAAAAGTTAACGTCCAAGAAGGTGGAACAGCAGGAGTAAGAGGAGTTGGAGATGAAGTTGGAGTTGGTGGTGGTGGTGGTAGAAGAGAAGAGAAGGAAGCTGTGGTAAAGGTAATTCCAAGATTACCTATTCTGGATTACGGACCCTTGAAATCGCGATCGAGGAAGATTCCAAATCTACTTGTCTACGATTACGCGAAGCAGAAACCCAACAGATATTGAAGCAATCAAGGCTATACCACTATACTGGCTTTACTTCCAAATATTACAACCACTGTTTAGGATTTTAGAATTTTCCTAAAATGATAAAATCTCTTTACAAGCATTGCATAATAGAAAATAATGAAAATAATCTATAACCGTTGTTGTAATCATTTCAAAACGTATATGTTTTTTATATACGTGTCCTTATTTTACTAAAATTAAAGTGTCGATATAATTTCATTTAACACGTCACGTGTCACAAGCCCTTTTTACCTAACTTGTCATTCAGACCATTTAATTTTCCTTTAACAAAATCAACTATTACATGTAATTATTAATTATTGTAAATATAACCATTAAACAAACTCATATGCTTTGTTCTATACTGCATTTTATATAATGCATCAACATTTTAATAGAAATATTTTTTTACAGAATAAAATTTGTTATAAACATACATTTTTAGTGCATTAAATAAATATGTCTAATGGTAAGTGTACTATTGGTGGTAAACGTGGCCTGAAGAACAAGTTTAACGTGTACCACCGTTGGGGTACACGTGGAACGAAACGTGTTAAAATACTACATTTATGTTTCAATAAAAATGCAAATATTTCATATTTTAAATCGCATAAAATATCATTGACAATATATGAACGTTATTACAATATTCAAATATGTCAAATAGTTATTTTTATCTTTTTTTTTTTTATCTCAAAGGGGATTGTGTTGATCTTAAGAAATATTTGGAAACGTGAAAAGTGTATGAAGAACACGAAAGACAAGTGCTGTGTAAATAACTTCATTAAATCGGTACTAAGAAATGCGGAAAAAGCGACTAACAAGGGTGGAAAGGAAAAGTTGAGGGGGGTTGCAGGGAAAGGAAACGACTGTTGAAACCAGGTAGAAATGTCACGTGACGAGACAAGTGCCACTTTGCGTATTCACCCTCATTCCTTTCACCCTTATTCTCTCTTTCTCTCTCTTTCTCTGTGTGTTTCACCCTTTTCAAATGTACGTATATCACGCGTAGTAAGTAAAATTGTTCCATATAGTTTCCGTATTTTCGTCCTTTAACGTCATGGGAATGCTCCGTATCCGGTACTAAGCGTAAGATGGGACTAAATGTACGCGAAGCTATCTGACAGGCCGCCCATTTAGCTATTTATTATTTATCTACAAGAGCATACCAAAGAGCAGCTAAAGGTAAGGTGTACGAGTAAGGGTGATGGATAAAATAAAGGGGAAGAAGAAAAGGGAATAAAGGTAAGAAATATGTATAACCTTAGGTTACTTAGTAACAACTAGTGAACATACAAAAATATTTACAAATTTTCAATATCGTTAACATTAAAAAATTTACACGTATGCACATATACGTATATGCATGCATGCGTGTTTGTTAGCTGGAAAATGTTCGTAATATAATTTATAAATATATTTAATTAAATACTTTGATTAAATTTGTAAAATTACGATAATGATCGAACCTATTGTTTCTCGTTTACGTGTGTGTGTGTGTGTGTGTTTTTTTTATGTTGGTTTCTTTTAAATATTTGCAAAAAGAACATAAATCAAAATATATATTTTCTTTTCAAAGAAAAAGAAATCGTTAAGAGATAGTACATTAAAAAAAGTTGCAAGACTATTCCTTTTTATCAAAGCATTTGTTATACACGAAAATTAGGAGAGTAAATATTTCGAGAAGAAATGAAATATTTGATTTGGAACGTCCTACGAATATGAAAGAAAACGTTTGTTAGATATTCTTATTTTACTAACGATAAAAATTCAGGTATTGTTGTTTTACTTCGAAGGAAATCTTTTATCTTCGATAAGAACAAATCTATCTTAGGAAAAATATATTAATAAAATACTTCAACGTAATTCAATTTTATCAAATCATATTAAACATGAAAATGTATTACATGTCATATTTATGTGTGTCTTCAGAAATCCCACTCTACATATATATTTGAAAAAAATAATATTTATATCTTCATGGTTCATTTATTATTAATATCGAAGCATCAATATATCAAAATCAAAAAGGAATGCAAGTAAAACAACATTACATGCTTGTCTGAATAAAATCGTAATTAATACACTATTAACGCAAGCAAAACAAGAAATATGAAAGAAAGTGCATAAATTAATTGCACAGTTAATTAAATTAATTTATCCAATGAAACAAAAAGACCTATCCTGAACTAATAAAATATTAGGTCGTCCTGAAAATGTCTTTCTTTTATTGGTGATAAATTAAACAATACTGCATGCGTAATATAATTTTTTTTTTTTTTAAAACAAAGAAGAAACTTTTGGAACGACCTAACATATACAAAATTGTACAATTTTCATGAGTTATTCCTAAAAAATGAATTACTCGTATGCTCGTCAATAATTTATTTAAATAATTACAAACCAAGTAGGACTTTTCATCCTTGACATTACTGAGCACTGAAGGAACTTTAAATTTCTAACTAAAATCTCAATTATTTTATTAGAACAGCCAATTTAATAAAAAGGAATTATCCAAAGGTATTAAAATATATATTTAAAAATATTTAACCCATTGAGACTGCCAGAGATATTTAAAGCGTCTCGCCTTAAATTTTACAAAATATATAATAATAAAATATTCTTACTGATATAATATTACAATGATATTTACAATAATTGATAATTAATATTTTTTACATCATATAAATATTTCATTCAACTTTGTTAATAATTCTTAACGCAAATAACCATTTGTAATTAATCTAAAATTGCAGTACACACTACGAGATATTTCGTAGTTGACAGTCAATGGGTTAAATATATTTCGATTAAAAAGTTCACGCGTATATTTAACGTTGTTTATATATAAACCGTATGTATTCGTATTAATCTCCAATGTCTTATTATTATTCAACAGACTAGAAGAAAGTGGAATATAAAATCGAAATAAGCAGAAAGGAATAAAGCGATGGATAAAGAGGACGCGAGTTCGTAAGCTTTTATAAGCTCGCGTCGTTGGTGGATCGGTCGTTGAAAGACGTTAGCCTTTCTAGATGGATAAAACTGTCTGGTGTTAAGAGACTCTCTCTCTCTCTTTCTCTCTCTCTCTCTCTATTTCTCTCTTTTTCTCTCTCTTTCTCTTCCCCTTCGTCTTCTACTTATCACTCAGCGCATGTCTGTTCGACGTGGCCTTACTGATATCGGTAACAGCTTGGGAGATTGGTGGTTTGCTCGAGAGAAGGTGAGGAAAGATAGAAGAGGAGTTTCAGTAGGGTAGAAAAGGAAAGAAAGGGAAGAAGAAGAAGAAGAAGAAGAAGAAGAAGAAGAAGAAGAAGAAGAAGGATGACGAAGCCCGAGCTTAACTCTCGAAACGAGAGTTAAAGAGAGAGAGAGAGATAGATAGACTAGAGATGAAAAGAGAGGTTGAAGTAAAGAGGGGTGTAGAAAAAGCAATCGTTGTCGTCAGGGAAACGAAGGAAATCTGCATTTTGTCAAACTGTTGCTCGAAAGTTCTTAAGAAAACAGGGTTGAAAGGTGAGAAAGACACGAATAAGAATAAGAAGAAGAAGAAGAAGAAGGAAAATAAAAGATAAAAAGAGAGAGAGAGAGAGAGATGAACAGACTAGTTAGAAAGAGAAAAAAAATAAGAAAATCTTCTCCTTGCACGACCATCCTTGCAATGACGTACCTGACGACAGTAGAAAGGGGTGATAAAGAGGGGAAGTGATAAAGGGGTTGATAGTAAGATTGTCAAGTCGAGAATAGAATAAAAAAGAAAAGAAAAAAGCAACCGGCATGTGACTGGGCGGTCGGTTTAAGTAACAAAAAAAGTAAGAAAAGTTTAGAAGAACTCTCTGAGATGTGTTGTTATCTAAGCTCTTCACGTACCTAAAGTACTTCAGGGATCTTTGGGGATCTTCGAAGGGGAAAGAAGAAGATAGGAATACGACCAACTGACAGAAATATACTTCAAATTACTTTAGATAATGATCGTATCTTTAACGAATCCTCCTACATTATCGAATCGCACTCAACTAACTGCGCTCTCATGACTTTTGACTTTTAATCGTAGAAAACTTTATAAATGATCTCCAATCGTTTATTAATGTATAGGTGTCTCCTGTATGTGTGGGTGTGTGTGTGTGTGTTTGTAAAGAGTTCAGCAACGAATTCAAATAAAAATAAAATAAACTGAAAACACGAGTAAAGGGAATACTCTACTAACTGCACTTCATTCAGTGGTGGGGATTGAAAAGGTGTATAGGATTTATGTAGAATTATGTGTTGGTACGTTATATTCCTCCTCGCATCGTTGACATTCAAGAACTGACTATGAACTGGGATAACGGACAATGTATGACCGTCAATTTTTACGGAACACCTGGTACGAAGTCAATAGGGATTATCGCGTATACGATTTGTAGATAGACGCTGACAGATTTCCTCTTCTCATATTCGATCCACATTTTTTTCTGTATTATTTTTATTTCTAGTTTATTTTTCATTATTTCTAATATTAGTTCGTAATGAAATTCTTTACCAATACTGATTATAGTAATCACGATTGTTGCATGCAATTTTCTTATGGTATAACAACTACTAATAATTTCATAATAGAAAGAAACTAATAATTATAATATTATTTGTCGTATTATTCCCTTTTGTTAATAAGAGAAATTTTCGATAATATTTTAAAAACACAGTTTGACAATATACTTATCCCTTCACTTTTCAACTTGGACAGCCTCCACGAGTCTCTGCAGTCCATTGCAGTTTAAATCTTTCCAAAAGTGCAATATCTTCCTTTTCCGTTCTCGTATATAAGACATACGACTTTTCCAGATCAAGCGACACGTATTACGCGTGAACACACATTGCTATAGATATTTCTACACACACAAATAACTCTGTGTATAGATATACATGCAAAAAAAAGACACAAGGAGCATAAAGGAAACGCACACGAATGAACTTGAGAACGAGGTCGCACCTGCAATTCGCCGTACCCTCGTCGTCTTCGTACTCGCTTCATTGGTTGGAGAAAGAATGAAAGAAAGAAAGAAAGAAAAAAGGGAAAAGGAAAAAAAAAACAAAGAAAGAAAGAGCTGATTTYGTAAACGTGAAAATGCATTACTCTCAATTTCCTTGAGCAAGCCAGTATCACCCCAATATTGCTGTGCATAGGATATTCGAAAACGTAGAAACTATTTCTACGATGACAAAAAAAAAAACAAAAAGAAAAACACCATAATTTAGTGAGTAGTAATAAAAAGAAGAAGAAGAAAAAGAGAAAAAGTAAGTAACATTAATCTAGATTAAAAATAAAGAAAAATAATTGTACAAAG